TAGATAACACAGTTTGGAGAATCCATAGGTTGCAAGTTAGAGCCATGTGTATTGAACTTTCTGTCAGCTGTCCCTCATGACTGGAATCAGAAACACAACTTTTGGTGGCCACGTATCCAGAAAAAGCCTTTATCTTCTGTAGACAGCAGAAGAAGTTATGACAAGGGATTACCTCTGCTTACCACAGTTACGGGACACTAATACCAAGACTATATTCAATTGTCATATATGGCTGTATTTTTGTTACTAGGACTGTTGTAGGAAAGGAAATCATGATAAATCAACCTGTGTCTGATTTGTCCTGACCAATTTTATTCTAAAGTGATACAATAAATAAGTGTACTATGCGCATTTTACAAATTGCTTGAACTTTTAAAGCTAAAACAGGAAATTAGCCATTTATCAGTCACATAGCATTCCATTGTTTGTCCATGACACTTTGATGGATATACAAGACTTCGCCTTTTTTGAAATTGCTTGAAACTCAAAATGTGAAGGATTTTGTGGCCTAAAGTCATGGCTGTTGGAAGTTATAACCCTTGACATTTTTGCTGTCAAGTGCCAGATATTTTCGCTGGCCGTCAAGTTCAAAACTTGTTTACTTGTAAGCTGACTCAAACTTAGACTTTTGGGGGGCAGGTCACTTTCCTTTCTGTAAAATCCCCAATTAAAAAAAAAATTGCAACCATATATCAGGGGTGTGAGAATTCAGTTTTCAGCAGATTTTAACTTTTTTGGTAAGATTTTTACTCTCCAGCTTTTTTGTGCACCTGCCCTGTACAAAATCATGGGAAGTTTTGAATTTCAGCTGTGTGCTAGCTGTTCGCAGCTTTTTGTATGTGGCCACTCACACCCCTACACGATAAATGGAAGTGGTCATTTGGGACACTTGAGGAATTTTCCACCCTCTATCCAATCACTGCAGGTCGAAACAGGATATTCACCTCCTCATGTTTATTGACATAGTGTGTTGGAGCATGTTGCCATAAAATGTGTTTTATAGCTTCATGGTTGGAGAGATGCTCATTTCTGCCTGGAGCTATGCTGCATCCTTAGTGATTTGGAGTTGGAGAAACACCACAGAATGCACTCTACTCTTTCCAGTCACCGAGAGCCCAATTTAGCTGATACATTGAATAGTAAAGAATTCCTAAGCACAAATGCTAGATTGTGCCAAATTGTCCTTTCCGAGATCATCCTCTTGGGACAAAGTTGATTTTAAGAGGGCATTTGAAAAATGTGGCTCTGCACCTTGTAATGAATCCTAGGAAATTAGACGTAATGCACCGTGGAGAGTAGCCCCTCACAGGCATTGAAGGCGTCAAACTCTGGGGACATATTGTACTTCTGTTAAAATCCATGTTATACAAGATTTACCACTTCCTGTCACAGGTAGTCTGCTGAGAGACTACAGTATACATGTCTTAATGTACTCATTTACGTGGTGGTTACCGGCTTTGTTTACCAGGTCTGTGGAGCTACATGTATTTCTTTGTTATTAAAATTGTCACCTGAAGAGGATTCATCTTCAGATTTGATTTTTTCCACACTAATCAGGCATCATAGCAAAATGGATTGTAAGGATATATTGTACATAGTTCACTTATAAAATAGTTGAAGAACTGGACAAAGGTTTAATAAAAGTGGAAACTTAATCTTCAGAACTACAATCATGGAATTGCCATTTTTAAAAAGAACCCAACTAAATGAGCATTAATCTTTTTACTGCCATTTTAGGCCACCAAAATTTATGTGTGGATGACATTAATTGGAACTAATTATCCATTAACAAGATTTAGTGAATTGTGACATTCAAAACAAGGCCTTCCAAGAAAACATCCTCTTTCTGTGATCTTAGCTTTAACATTACGTCAGCCTTAGTTAAGGGCAAGGTGTATTACACATTTCAAACATACATGTACGTGTAAGTCATTACAGTTTTGTCAAAAATCTTAGTTTTGCAAAACGAGTAAAATTCAGAGCAATAATCATCTTGCTTTTTCTGTGGTACACAAGAAATTCTCATTACTCGTGGCAAGATAGCATCAACTATCTTCCAAGAGAGTTCTCATTTTAAAAGAAGAGAGGGGGGAAAAAAGCTTAGTCATGTTACTTCCAGCATCACTCAGCAATCACTCAGAGCATGCAGGAAGTGTTTGCAGTTTGGACAGCACAGAGCGTGTTAGCTTGTCTCGCTGTGAAGTGATCAAAGGAAATTGAGTACAACAATCTTGTTATTGGGCGAGCATTTCCTTTCATCTCATTCAATCGGTCTCTTATGGCAGGTGGCATTTAAATATCCTGGTTTCTCTCCAGCCCTTGCTTTGAACAAAGTCCAATCTACCTGCCGCTGGCACTTTTTGCGGTCATTGGTCTTTGTGTTTAAAAAACCTGAGGACTCTTCAATAAATACTAATTGCCTTTTTGGGCTGCACCAATTTGAGAGCCAGTAAAGAAATGATTGAGTGTTTGAAAATTGCAATACATCACATGAGTATCACACAGTCAATGACAATGCATTTCATTAAGAGGCCAGAAACTACTGGTCTCTGTAGCTGCTACAACAGCAGTGCAACAGTAGTGAATAGGCCCCATCTCAAAGTAATGTTTTTTAATCTACGCTCCACCAACAGTTGAAGAAGCTTTCACTCATAAACCTCACACTGAATTAAAACACGAATTGGTCAGTGCTTGCCATAATTTTGTTGCTGGTTGATCCCTTTGGTGGTCTAGGCCAGATGATTCCCTTGTATAATGTTATGATTATCAACCATCAGTGGCTTTAGTTACTTTAAAAATTAAATGCATCTGAAATGGTCAGCAATGAACTGCTGCATTGACCCTGAAGCAACACATAATGACAATAGGGATGCCAGCATTCAAAAGAAGTGAAACTAATATTCAGTAGCCAAGAGTATTATTCAAATATTCTAATAAAACAGAGGCCAAAGCAGTTGGATTTAGGACCGAAAACTGCATCCGGAGAATTACCAGCATTAGAAAGGTAGAGGAACAACTGCATGGGTACGATGTCATCCATCCAGCATACCTCCCCCAAAATAATAACTGCTTTGTCAAAAGCAGCGTCAACAGCCATATGAGGATTTTATGTGCGTAAGCGTGGCAGCATTAGAAAGAGCTGTCTGGTGTAGTGTACATGACGTCACGTGGGTATGACTCAGTCTCGTGGGGGAAAAGGAAAGTGCGTAGCTGGCTGTCCCCCTAAAACGGAACCCCGTCCTCGTCGGGTTTTATGTTTTATATATATATATATATATGTATATATATATATAAATAACCCTCCCCGGGCAGCCCAAAGGTCTCACTAGTCTCTTGTTGGATTGCCAGTCCCCACCTTGCTCTTGCCATCCTTGGGGTATATACGTATTCCCTGAAGATCATCCTTCTAGGCAACGCCGGGCCTCCAGCTGTTCTCCTCACCCAATTTGCAGTTGTTGTCAATGAGGAGTTGGACTTTACTGGGACTATAATGGTAAAGACATGTCTCTGTGAAAGGGAAGTTCCCTCTTACCCTTGTCTTGGGGAGAAGCAACTATTGTGCAGCTTGAAGTAGTGCTTGTTTGCATCCTTGGATAAGAATGTTGAAATTTGTGTTCAGATATCACTGTGATGGAATTTCTTAAAAAGTCATCACAGTGACCGCGAAAGTGCTTAAAAAGAAACCAAATTGGAAATGTTATAAAGTTTTTATTGGCAGCTGTTTAAGTGATACTACAAGCAAGAGATAATTTGAGTACATGTACATGGAGCAATGCCTACAAGTACACAGTGTACTCATTAAACTGAGTTTTGTCAGTGAACAGTTTATTTCACACTTATACATATTTATCATTTTCTTTCAGGGTGGAGAGGCCATGCGGGCTTAAAGTGATCCATTTATTTATTGTGTTTTTCTTATTTCACAGGCCACACCGTTTCACCAACCAGTGAATTCTCGTCACTTGAGCGACTACTACAAGATAGTCCACAATGCTATGGACTTGCAGACCATGCGTGAGGTATGGAAACTTTGATTCTGAAGGCATCCGAAGACATAAATGAAGACATAATTTTTATAATTTGTCCAAGGTCAGCACTCATCCAATGATATGCCTGACGGATGCCTCTGCTTGCTGATGGCATCATGGTTGTATTTTGGAACCAGAGTTGGCATTGTATTTTGGCCAATTTTCATCAAAATGTGCACAACCCTCATTTCATCTTTGTGTTGGTGTTACAGTGCGCAGTGGCAGTGGCATTAAAATGTCTGCCATATTTCTTTATTTTCCCCAAGCTGTACGTGAAAAAGGGTGCAAGAAGTCCTCTAGAATCATATGGGTGCTGAGACCTAAGCATACAACAGAATTATCTTGAAAGAACCAACATGATATTCCAACAGTGCATGCCCAAAATAAAGCCCGTCGGAAGTCATACGAGAACAGCAAGGGTCAGGCATGAGGTTGGTGTTTCAATGTGACTTCCAGCATGTTTGAGCTGGCATGCCTTGAGCCGGATTGATCTTGCCTTTTTGAAATACCAATCTAGTTCATTTTCAGGTTTGACCCTACCTTTTTCCTCTCTGGTAGAAATTGCGAGCTCGGAAATATCAGTCTCGTGAAGAGTTCTTGAGTGACGTGCAGCTGATTGTGGACAACAGCGCCCTCTACAATGGTGATACGAGTCCCATGACCATGGTAGCCCACAACATGCTGGTTCTCTGCAAAAAGAGAATGGAGGAGGTCAGTGTCTATTAGTATTGGCTGTATAGTGTGAATGCTGATGCAGTAAAGTGATCCTAAAGTTTGGTTCACCCTCTTGCAAATTCCATCCAGTGCAATTGGTTGCGGCATTTACTGTCATAAAAAAATGAGTTTTGCATTTGCTTACTGGCTGGTGATTGGGAAATTGAGAAATGGGCACACATCGACAGGACTTGTTCAGTCCACACTTAGAACCGTGAGTTATTCTCAAGAGCTGTCTTTAAGCACTGAACTCGAAGTTGTTGTAGTTTAAAATAAAGTAGAATCAGTCATTGCTTGCATTCGTTGTGACGATTTCCGCGGGTCAGTAAAATTTGTTTAAAGTTCACATGAATTGTGGCGTTACTCAAAGTTGGAATGTACCAGTTCTCACATTTCAATTTGTTGTCTTCTGCAGAAAGATGAGAAATTTTCTCGAATTGAGAAAGCCATCAATCCACTGCTTGATGATGACGATCAGGTTGCCTTCTCTTTCATCTTAGACAACATCATCACAGCAATGAGAGCGGTCCCTGATGTAAGCTGCCTCTTTGTAAAACATCAATGCATTTGGATGACCCGTTGAACTTATTTTCATGGTCAGCTTAAAACGAAGAATTGTGTAATGTCCTCAAAGTTGCTCATGTCACTTTTTTTCACTCTACCCCTTTGAGTGATTGATACCATTGCAAGCAGATGACATGTACATGTACATATCCACTGTAAATAATAAAGTTCAGCAATGTAAATTATAGACAATCGACAGGCACATGATGAAAAACAGATTGGCATGACTGCCTGATGTTCGTTTGTTTATACTACCCTCTTTTACATTTACAGTCATGTAGCTTTGTACTGTCACTGATTAAACCATCATGATGGGTTGGTAAATAACACCCAGGAATGTCATAACTGATTAAACAACAAATTCAATATGCGCTTATCTAAACAACCTCTTCGGCTGTGTTTTTACCACTAATTGTTGGTGTTGGTTTCCTAGGGCTATGCTGAACCATCACAGCTGTGGATGATGGGGAGAATATTTCAACAAATATGCTACTGTTTATTTCTATTGAATACTTGTTTCCTGCATGTACACGTTGCTCCACTTTCCTCAGTTGATTAGATGGAGTTCTAGGCACAATTCCACAGCGCTGCCAAGCACACAACTTTGTGCTTCCTATATTTCATGAAGACCGTAAGCAATAAGCACAGCACAAAGCACACTGACCTTGGAAGAAAGGTTTGCTTAATTTGACACAACAATGGAAATCTCTGTGCACACCAGTGTAGCTGTTGTACTAAGCACAGCAACTGTGGAATGTTTGCCATGAAATTTGGTTTCCGTCAAGCAAATACTTGGGCTGTGGTTAGCAAAAAAGTTTGCTTGATGATAAGCAGCACCTTGAAATTGGGCCTTGTAGTCTGACAAACTTTGGCTCTTTGCAATCGCAATCATCTCACTCTGTGGACAGTATTAGTGTCGTCCACTCTGTTGGACCACTAATCTCACTAAGAATGTTGATAGAGGTGGTTATTTCGTGTGGGATACGCACTAGTGAAAGTGGGACCAGGTCATTGTGTATCAGGGGATAATGAATGCCTTGAGAACTGGGCTGTAATTGATGATTAACATCCCTCAAGATGAAGAACTGTTTGGATAAATTTTCTCCCACTCAGGTTAATCCCAAGATGTCCATCGTTGGTACTTTGTTGTAAATTTCTCATAACGATGACAGCATTGGACCAGTATACTCTAGTCAGTGTTAAATGGGAGCCATGATTCGGATCAAAAATTTGTTTTTGTTCTGGGCATGCTCAATATCAGTTTTTTACTCGGCAGGACAACTAATTATGGCGTGTTTCTTTTGATAAAAACATTTTTTTTTTATTTCGCCATCGTGTTGTATTTATGGTGCTCAAACCAAAGGACTCCTCTGTGACTGGAAAGTCTAACAGTAATATGCATAAAAAGGAGGTTGAAGGAATTTGGATTTTGAAACATGGTTGAGAACTTCAACATATATTGAGGGAAATACAATGGAATTTCTGGCTTATGTTGACCTGGATATGATTTTTTCCCATCCTAGTCACAGACACAGAAGAGTTAAATGTACTTGCCCATGAACCTGTAATGATATCCAACTTCTCCCATCAACCCCCTCCCCTTTCTTCACTCAGTCATGGCCCTTCCACCAGCCCGTCAACCCCAAACAAGTGAAGGACTACTACAAGATCATCACCACCCCCATGGACCTGGAGACCATGAGGAAGAACACACAGAAGCACATGTACAATAACCGTGACCATTTCCTAGAGCACGTGGAGCTCATGGTTAAGAACTGTGCTGCTTACAATGGTAAGAGTCAAGGGACTAGGCAGGCTTTGAATAGCCACGTGAATGCACAAAACACTGAAGTTAGATGAATGCAGTTCGCCACATTAATGCATCTGCTGTTGATAATTTGAACGCAGCCTCGATACCTAATGGATAAAGAGTATGAGGACAACCATTGCATTAGTTTCCTCAGAACCTCTAATGGTGTTCAAATATTCACACACACATGTATGTACATACATACATGGATGTGATAAGTGAAGAGGTTTTTACCCTGAATTTCCTTCTGTTGCCAGGGCCTTATCTGAAAGAAGATTCCATAGCTGTGGCAAAGTCAATTGTCAGCATGTGCCCACATATTGAAAAGCAATGGAGACCTAGACCTACATGTAGCTCTAGATACAAGATTTCAGTACAGTCCGAGTCTGCATATTGGAGGTTTTCTAAGTCTAGGCTTTGTCTTTTTATTGGGCTTCAATTTGTTCCCTAAATTGAGAGTATGCTTGAACTCAACTCAGCTCCATGTTCTTATGTGTATTCGTTTATTTAAGGAGAGGCCACACTTTCTAAAGAATTTTCATTTGGTTCCCAAAACAAGTGTACGTTGGGCTTATGTACTTTGCATTGAGGACCGACATATATTCATAACACTGTATGGTCAGTGTTGGTTTGAGAGCTTGCGAAAAAATTCACAAGCTTACTGGGGTGGGACTTGAACCCACGACCTCCTGCTTACTAGTGCAAACATCTTAACCATTCGACCACTGAGCTTGCTGGTTCGAGTCGGATGTAGCAGCGGGTGCCGCAAACTATTTCAGCATGCAGCCAGGATTACTTGTCCTTTGAAAAGTGACAACAAAACAGGACAGTCTGATTAGTTTATCTGCTTGTTATCTACTGGAGGCGGGTTAACCAGTGTCCCATTGAACTCCTGCTGCTCAAATTCTACAGCCAAAAGAAATCTGCAGTGGAAGTGTTTTGGTCACGGCCTGCAAGTGGATGTGATTGCTGATTTCCTGCAATAATTTCCCCCTGACAGGTGAGGAGAGCACCCTAACCGGGATTGCCCAGCGGGTGCTGGAGGTCTGCAGGGCTGAGCTGGCCTCCAACGAGGAACACCTGGCCCAGCTAGAGAAGGACATCGCGCTGGCAAGGGAGAGTGCCCTGGAGGCGGCCGACACGGAAAGCCTGTCGGCCGCTCCCAACACCCCTTCCAGTCAGATGGCCAATGAGGACAGCATGACAGGTAGAAACCAGGCGGCCTTGTCCCGTTTCCCACATCCCTCCGACACTTTTTATCATCCTTTATAACAGAACGGGTGTTTTGGGAAATTTGACACTTGAAATAGTTGGGAGATTGAGATGCCTGAAGTTATTCCAACCTTTGTGCCTATTATACTATATCATGTTGCAAGTGCACATTTTTGTGAGTGTGGCTTTATCTTTTCATGAGATAACAACTGTAACCAACACATTTGCAGGAAAACAAAAATAAACAGCAGTGCCCTACATGTAAATTGTCTAGAAAGTAATGTACAGCAGGTGGCAGAAACCAGTTCACAGCAAAAACAAGATTTGTTTTAAATTTGTCAGACATCTAACTTGATATAATCAACTTCACAGTTGAATTTTTTGCAGAGTAAACTTACAGCTTCTTAATCCTTGTTGTTTTTGCCGAGTTTTGTTTTGTACATGAAAGAAATGTGAAGTACAAGATATGTGTTTGGACTTGGGTTCTGCTTCCATGTATTCTTTCTTTCCCCTCAGGTTTGAGAGTCTAAAATATGTTTATATTTATTTATAATTAATTGCCTGTGAATTGTGTGCTCTCCTCCTGCAGGGTTTGATGATGAAGATGATGTACAGGGTAATGACCTGGAGGAGGGAGAGTTTGTGGACATCGAGGGAGATGGAGAAAAGGTCAGTACACGCTCCTAAGACTACTTGCTCAACAGAAGTTCCCCTTTAGCACCAAAACAAGTTAACCTTGAGACCACACTTGAGCATTACCTTTGATTGTGAAGCTGACTTCGACATGCTGCAGTACCTGGTCTAAAACACACAAACTGCATCACCTGCCACAAGGACATCCACAAGGATGTGTAATGCTCTAGATTAGCTCTCTACCGTTCATGCATTCACTGTAAACATGGCAGCTCAATACAGTCATTCTCAAAAGAGTATTTAGAAACGATATGGATGTGTTTCTTCATCTGCAGAAGTCCAGCTTTGAGCCCATCCAAGATGCCGAGGACAGCATCCTCTTCAATGACCTCCAGATCACACCAGACAACAGTGAAGAGGAAGATGACGACGAAGAAGATGAAGAAGGCGACAACCCTTTCCTAAACCAGCTCAGCGAGAGTGAGGAGTCAGAAAACGATGATGGGGATGAGCCCGAGCATCCAAATGATGAGGAGGAGGAAGAGGATAGAGAAGGCGAAACTGAAGAAGCCGACAACTTTGAGGATGAGAATGGCGGCGAGGAAGAAGATGATGTGGAAGCGGAGGTGGATGAGTCATTTGAAGCGGAGTACGACATGAGCCGGCCAAACTCTGAGATGGCAGATGTGGAACAGAGTGAAGAGGAGCTGGATGTGGAGGAGGGCAAGATGATTCAAGACGACGAGGAGGAAGAAGACAGCGAGGATGACTTTGTGGAAGTGGAGGATGAAGAAGAGGCAATGGATGAAGGTTAAATCCAGTGGCTGAGCAATGAGCCAAAGAGCAAGGGAACACTTCACTGAGCTGCGAAGTGGCTAACAAAATTCTTAAGATAATGAGATGATTACCAAACACAGTGAACACTACCTGCACATGAGAATTTAGAGATTTTAGACCCGTTGTTGCCTACCAGATTTAACTGTACTTGTTTCTTCTTGGCGTAAAAGGTCATTTTTGGCTTACTTCTTAAGTTTGTGTTTTGGCTTTGTAAAATTCATTGACACAGAGGAGGTCAGAAGGTGCTTATAATGTACAAGAAATCAAGTTACATGTTAGTCTGTTTTTAATAAGCCCACATTAGCTTTTGAACTGGATATATGGAAACTAGCCAGTTCTAATTGTGGTACAAGAATTTGAAATTGAGGGGAAAAATTTTAAGATCACAAAACTGAAAATTTTTATACATTATTTTGTCATTTATTTGTTCAGTGTCAAGATCTCCTTGTTCGATTGACCAATAACTCATCTCATATTTATAGAGAGGCTAATTTCTTACAATGAAGCTTATCCCATTCAGGAAAGAGGATAGTGATGTCTTTGTTGGCGATTTTTGGTTGTAAATATTGTACATTAAAGATAACGTAAAGCAGAAGTAGATCGGAATATGTTGGGAGAACCAGAAGAAAACCCGGCTGGTAAAATTTGTATTGAAAAATATCAGTCTGAATGCTATTGGACGAGAGAAGAATCGAGTCATTTTATACTGTAAGGTGGAAAAAACAATTTCCAAAAAGAAGGAAAGAAAACAAAGGTAAACATTTTTTAGTGCACAAGTACTCCTTTTTATTTTTGGGGTCACGATTTGCCCGTTTTATTCAAGCATTTTGGTGAAGTGATTATCTGTAATCACTATGTCACCAATAAAGGCAGCTTTAATCATTGAATACACAAGTCTAGAAGAAAAAGTGAAATGTTTCTGAGCTCGTGTCAATAAAGCTATTGCCTAAAACGTGTTCGTGTGTTATGTCTTAAAACTAACATTTCCTCCACAGTATAACCTACAAGAGTGCAATTTTCTTCAGTGTCATCACAGTTACATTTTTCATGCACCGAGCCTAAAAAAAAAATTGCAGTAACATCTTCCTGTCATTTTGTCACCAGATTTGTGGAAATCGGACATGCCGTTCGCGCGCAACGTGCATTTTCCCGAGACAGGTCAGCCCGAAATCCATTCTTTTTCCGTGGCGTGCTCGATGCATGTTGGCCGACGCGTTTGTAGTCATGAACCTCAAGTGACCACAACATCCAAAACCTATGTTGTATTGAATGGAAACTTAAGCTACCATTTGTGTCTTTACGTGCATAGCGAATTCAAAACTACCGAGTGTATGACCCTGAGTTCGGGGGAAGGGGGGCGGGAATCTACCCTGCCCAGGTGTGACATGGTCTTTGAATATTAAATGGAAACAGTTGGCTGAAAAGCCCTTTCGTCAGACTGTAGAAAGGAAAGCATTTAATTTCCATTTTCAAGTTCACACAAAATGTCAGCAAACACTTTTTTCCCTCATGTTTGACTTTTTCTTTCTTTTTTTTTTAATGTGTACCATTCTATTTGCTCAGTTGACACCAGCCAATATCTCGCCGCCACTTTGGTATGACTGCCAGCTAACCTCTTCATTCAAGACCTTCAGTTTTTGCAAGACTGCAAAACCAGCTCAAATTTCAAGGCAGTGTGATCTTCCGATTGAAGAGAAGATCCTCAGCTGAAGTCTTTCCTCGTCAGTGATCCGCCCAATCAAGAGCGTTTCGGTCGTCTCGACTACCCGACGTAGTACAGCATGAGTGTTCAACATCGGCGAGTCAATTTGAACTCATCGAAGATTGGTAGGGGGTGGGAAAGTTGCTCCATTTTCACCTACGTGTTTGCATTGGATATTTCCTCCTTGTAGAATGAACTAAAAGGTTGAGGTAATGTGTGGTGTATTGCAAGGAGTACATTTATCTCCGTGCTGAAGAAAGAACATATTCTCGGCATTTTAGTTCATCAGAACTTACTGGGGTTACTGGGAAGGAGGAAAACGAAGATTAAAGGGGAATCATGGACGACAGGGAGTTTCTTTAGTTTCGAGCAGATTTTTTTCCGGGGAAGTTGTAACTCAAGGAGAGCCGATGAGACATGAGTTACGGGCGTACCGTTTGAGGAAGATAATAAAGCCCGTCCGTTTGGGAATAAATTTATTTGTATGTTCGACACCGGTCTGACATAAAGGGTTTGTACTATCGACTAAGGGTTTGTTTTATAGACGAAATGATGTATTTGGACTTTAATTTCATGTTATATCCTTCTACTACTAATATCGGCTACTCTGCTAGTGTTCTTTCTCTGAAACCAGCAATGCGAGACTCCACAGGAAATATAGAGTAACGTGGTCTGATTCAAACCACGAAACTAGCCTAGCCACCTGTGCCACAAAACCGACGACAAGGGAAAACTCAGCCGTCAAAAAGAAAGTCCACAACGACCACAAAAATAACCACAGGAAAAACAGGAAGCGCTACTCCTACTGGAACGACCCCAAATGTACATGTACATGTACACGTATTCGACAATATAGGCCTATATGTAGTTATTATTTTAACTCCCCAATTCAATTATTAATTTTTTTCCCTCTCCAAGTGATGTCTTGCTAGCGAAGAAATCTTCAATGGTGTATGCAAGAAGAGACTAATACAGTAAACAAACGAATGTTGTGTTCACTTGATGATAGGAGAGTCCTTCAAAAAAGGACAAAGGTGGTCCTGTGATAAAGTCAATAAATCCTGTCGTTTACGGCCGATGCGGTGTCCAGGTTTTTAGATCGATGGTAGTTCGCAAAAAGGGAATTTTTCTCTCGATAATTTTTCACCCGAGATGGGATGCTTGCTGCTGTAATTCAAACTTGTCAAGAGCTGGTGGAAAATTCCGGGGAAGAGTTGGCCCCTTTCCCCACCTGTACTGAGTGCTCACTCTCCGTGGCAATAACTTGAAGCATAACCCGAGTGAACTTTGGAGGAGAATAATAATGTCATCGATTTCCAACATATTATACATTATGCCTAATCACATTGGCAAGCTGTCGGGTAACGTGTGCATCACGCCATCTTCAAAAATGCTTGATTAAACACTCGACCAGACGGAGTGTGGAGAATCGATCATAGATTGAATATCATAATGTGTTTAGTGGTCAGTAGAATTTAAAAGTTGTTACAGATATACAGTAGATGGGTTTACTACACCATGGAGCACACTTGGAGTAAAACAGTTAACTTCAAATTCAAAGTTACCACAAGTCTTTATGAATCGAACGGTAAAAGCGGGGCACCCCACCGCCAACCCTGTTCTAATGTAAACGCTATCCAGGGGAGAAAATAATTTGACAGGACTGCAAACCCCAGCCTATTTTGCTAAATTTAGCGAGCTATTGCCATCACTGCAGGTATGTAAGCACTTTGAAAATCATAGATAGGCCTAAGTCATGAATGTCCGAGTGTTAAAAAAAAAACAGTTCGAAAGCAGAACCTGAGTTGTCAAATGTATAAGTTGGTGGCGCTATGCAGTTTCTTCTAGGATCGAACCTCGGATGCTTTTGAGCCACCTCCTTTCCCAGTCTTATTTCGTGCTACTTGCCGAGAACTTTCTTCCTATCTGAAAGCTTGAATAATTCAATCTGTAATGATTAGGCATCACTGTAGACAGTAACGGTCTGGGTTATTTATGAGGAACCACGATGAACTTGAAGCAATGTGTCATCAATTGATCATTGTGCACCGGTCGTGCATTCATAGCATTTCATTCTTCGTAAAATCAAAATGAAACAGGCGCCATTTGAAAAGTCGGTTTGGTGTTCGCATGCCCAACAAAATAGGAGCTTTGCGAAATTAATCATCCTATTAAAATGGAAAGTGCATCGCAAAAGCGAAGAGATCGGAATCACAGAGCCGTAAGGCATATGCGGAGTTTAATCATTGTAACACTCCCCCCCCCACAGATGTAGATTGGTGATGTAAGGCCCACGCAGCCTTGAATCGAGTGCAATTGATGAAGGTCAGAGCTTCAATAAGTCCTGAAGACGGTCATTACATTTTGTCGTCTTTTTGGATTACCCAGTCCGTGAGATGAGAGAAAGTAGTACTTTAAGATCTAATATCAACACCGTGGAGAAGAAGGCAACGACAGCAGAGAAGAGACAGAGCTTGAATACAAGTGAAGTTTGCAGAAACTACATTCACGATGAGAGAAAAGGAATAAAGAGGTAGAAAGGTTCAATGCTGAATGGATACAACGAAGAACCGAAGAATGAAAGAGACAGGCCTATCAGCGTGACAAACGATGATTGAGAAGGAAGAGATAGTGGAGGAGACGACAAGATGAAGATAAAATGTCCTTCATTGTGGTTACAGGCGGTGATCAAAAGATCAAAAAGAGGTTTAGAAAAGGACTGATTACAAGTAAATGAAAAACATGTAAGTGAAAGTAAGTTCAGTTTTTAAAAAAAGGTAACCGAAGTTGAAAAAAGCCACTGGAAAAGGACTGCGGGGTTGAACGGAACAAAGAAAGGACTGTCTGAGGTCGCTGCATAGACGAAGGATCAAAAAGACGGAAAACTCGAAGCAGATGAAAATTTGTGAGGGGAAATAGGGCCTATGGGGTTTTTTTTGAGGGGGGCAAGTTTGGCAATCTACTCCCTGTTCCTCTTGGAAGATTTTTGTTTCCTCCCAAGTTCAGCGCACGTTTGCACTCACAGACAAACATTTCGGCCTTTCCATCGAACTCGCGACAAGATTTCAGCGAAAGAGGAGACGGCACTTCTGCCTGCTGCCAGAGGGGGTGAGCAGTGCCCTCCTTCACTCGCTTGAGGGATGCCACCGAGCTGTCTCAAGACAGAGGATGACCAAGACAAATCCCTTCTGCATCTCCCCTCCCCAAGGGTGCTACTTCATGTTTCACTCTTGCCTCCGATGCTGACGGCTAATCGATGAGTCTTGCTGTATAGTATAATTTTGGCTCGCGTGGTGTAAATTCTTTTTCCAGTGAGTCCCCTCTCCCCTTCATCCCGGTGCTGATCCTCAATATCACTTGGAGACGGCTATATGTGAGCTCGGGTCATTCGACAAACTATTCCCATGGTGTGATTTTTGGCTCATGTTCCTTCCTAGCAAAAACACAGGCATTCCTCATCGAAGTCATTGTAGCGTTTTCGGGATCTCGTCTTGTTGTTCTTGCCAAACACCGTGTGTATCGTTTACGTGGACCTATTAAAAAAAGGTCTGGGTACTAATGAAGTCGATGGGTCGTATCATTTGCACCCAGCAGGTTATTCGTAGGAAAAAACCTCCAGTCACATCATATGCAATTTTGCTTTGCGCTAAATTGGCAAAGATCCTACATCCACAGACATGCCAACACTAAAATAAAACGCTCGAAACGATGTCCGAATTGGGTGCTGCAGAACATTAAAAGTGTCTTTCTGAACGTATGCTGTTTTATCATTTCACATTAAAAGTACATTCTTTCGCTTTACTTTTAATAATTTCTCCATTAACATCATTTTTCAAATGATTCCACCATGTTTCTTCTTGTCAATCTCAACTCCCAACAAGTTTTTGCACGTTTAGCAGGTTCCTGTAGTGTTTATTTGGACGATTGGTCATTGGCGTAGCATGGTCATAAAGACCTGTTCTGTCTTTAACGAATTATTTATGACATTTCCAATCTTTTTGAAATGATCCCAGCGCCTGTCTCATTATCCATAGTGTTACATTGGTAAGACAAGAATTTCACAGTCCATTGAATTTCATGATTAATGTCATTCAGCTGTCGCGACAGGTGCAGACCGAAGTCGTCTCGCATGAACTAGTTTGCGGTGAACTATCTCCACGGCAATACCACAGAGAACCATCGTTTTGACCGTTGTTTTATAGTCGCCCGTCATAACAGCTGCCGTTGTCATTGTCGCAACTACTAAGTCGATAA